AAATCATTGGAAGCTTTCAGTCTCATTCAAAACAGCATCATTTGTTAATCATTGAAGCGTTCATGTATTGCTTATTGGAGATACAGATTACCTTGACATTGTAATTCCAATTAGCTGGGAAGATGTTTTAGGAGTAATTAGACAACATAGAGTTAAAGAACATAAAAAGGCAGTGCAAACGAGTGCTTTCTCTTCTTGCAGAAGGGGATATTCTATTTCCTGATGCTTGAGATGATCTAAACAAAGAGATTGATTTTATTAGTGGCTTGGTTTCTTTAGCCCAGTACCATGACCTTATCCTGTTCAAAGAAGCTGCCACAGGGTGCTTAAGTAGAAACATACAGTATGATTTAGCATGCAGTTCAGAGGGGCCAGGTTCTCACATTGCATATAAGAAAGTTCCCTTTTCATTTGTCTGTCTGGGCTATTCATTCATCTGTATTAGAAGAGAAGAGAAAAATACTAGTCTTTCTGTGTTGCAGGAGGATGGCTTGCCCTTATACATAATGTGTTTGGATGGGGTGTGTAGGGTGTGTGTGTGTGGATGTGAGATTAGTCTTTTTTCAGCCACCTGTGGTCATTGAGAGAAGGGGGAAACTTTCTGTGTTTCTCTCAGCTTTCCATAGTTGTGAAATTTTAGGTAATTGTCATACTGTAGTCAAAACATGATTCTGTGAATTTTGGAATTGCTCTTTAATTTTTACGTAACTCTGTCTGGAACGTTTCTGAGTACTCCATGAAAAGTGAGGGTCCATCCCCTTGGAAGAACAGGAGAGGCATCGGGAACACTGAAACCTGGCCCCTTGGGACCCTGGTGCCCTGCCCTTTGGCCCCGAAGCCGGACTTACAACCACCAGAAATCTAAATCCACCTCCAAACAACACTGAACCACTGCATGGGCAGTGCAAGTGCCCCCAGAACCCAGACCTGGAAATTCTCAGGTGCTGTGTCCTTTCTCCCTCCTCTGAGCTCTGGAGTGTTCTACAATTACATGACTTCTCTGCGCTTGGGTCACCTGATTAAAACTGGAAGCACTGTTGCATCATAAAATGCCCTGTAATGGAAAATGACTGAATCAATTTGGTTTGAAAATGCATCTTTTATAGTCTTTTATTATTTTGTTGGGTTTTGACATGTTTTGGTACCAGGTAGAGGAGTGGAAGGAAGGAGATTATCTTCTACTTCAAAACGATGGATGGCTAGGATTCTAGTCCTGGCTTGGTCTGTAACTAGTGTGGTATTAGAAAAGTTGGCTAACCCCCGCTGTGCCTCAGTTACCCGAGAGGCCAAATATCTGCCCGCCTTCCTAGCTTTGTTCTTGTGAGAGTAGGATGGTGGCTCACACCTGTAATCCCAGCACTTTGAGAGGCCGAGGCAGGTGGATCACCTGAGGTCAGGGGTTTGAGAACAGCCTGGCCAACATGGTGAAACCTGTCTCTACTAAAAATACAAAAAATTAGCTGAGTGTGGTGGTGGGCGCTTGTAATCTCAGTTACTCAGGAGGCTGAGACAGGAGAATCACTTGAACCCGGAGGTGGAGGTCACAGTGAGCCGAAATTGTGCTATTGTACTCCAGCCTGGGCAACAAGAGCGAAATTCTGTCTAAAAAAAAAAAAGAAAAAAAAAAAGGAAAATATTTCTGTGTCTTGAAAATGTTAAAGCCACGGTTATTGCTCAAAATAGTGTGGTATTTAATATAAAATAGATACCCTTCATAGCCCATTTGTGAAATTAAACTTAAAAGGGTCACATTGGGACATTATTTTTACAATTAAAAAGTTTTCTGTAACAAGGATTGAACCTAGGCAGGACTTCATACCGGATTAATTGTGTTCATACTGAGTGAGTTACAGATTTAGTCTATTTGTTCCTTGGTTTCAGAGGAGTCAAGCGTCAGAACTTAATGGTAGTTGTAGGTTCTCATTTGCTATGACATTTCAGTCATTAGTCTGATTGGAGCATTCTTTATCAGCCCTGTGCTTCAAGAGGAGGCGGAAACCACCATCCTGTTGGCTTGGCGGACGTCTGCCTGCTCAGATACTGCGTCTCTCCTCGAGTCCCCAGGGCCTGGGGAAAGGACGAGGGGGCAGCCAGCTGGGCCCCTGGGCTGGGGACCAGGAGCCCTCGCTCGGCTCGTTTCCCACTCATTGTGCGGCCCAGGCCCTATCACTCGAGAGGCCTGGCAAGGAAGCGAGGAGGAAGCCGGTGCCACTACTGGTTCAGAATGTTCCAGTGTGGTTGGAAAGTCTGAGAAGCAGCCTGGGTGAGAAGAACAAGACCTTATTGACAGGGTTCAGTCCTGGTCAGGTCTGTTTCACATCAGCTCTCTAAATAATCACAGCTCTTCCCACCTCAGGGATCTCCAGCACGTTTACTTCTGGCTTTTTTAAACATTTAATGTAGCTATGGTAGAACACAAAGCATTCGAACTTTTTATTCCAAGAGAATGATTAAAAGTGTAGTATTGCCTGCTTCAAAACAAGAATAGCGAAACAAAGCCCAAACTTCGTACTTTACGTGGCTTTCCAACCTACTGCCAAATTGTTATTCTTATTGCAAATATTTTTCTATTGAGCTGTTTTCTCATTGATTGATTTATAGGGATATTGATTATCCTAAATAACATTTTCAATGGTTATGTAGCCCAACTTGGCTTGTCATGGTCTGAATTGGTCAGTGTCATTATCTAACTTAAATAATGGTCAGTGTCATTATCTCACATATATTTTAGATATGTAAAAACCATAAGAATTGTAAGAATGGGATTAAAAAAGAATATACCAAACATTTTCTCTTCTCCACGTGAATCTACAAACTGGAATATTTACCTCAAGAAGTCAGAAGAAAATCTGCTGGAGATTTTAGGCCTGGCGTGGTGGCTCACGCCTGAATCCCAGCCTTTGGGAGGCCAAGGCAGGCAGATCACATGAGGTCTGGAGTTCCAGATCAGCCTGCCAACATGGTGAAAACCCGTCTCTACTAAAAATACGAACATTAGCTGGGGATGATGCCACTCACCTGTGATCCCAGCTATTCAGGAGACTGAGGCACAAGAATCGCTTGAACCCGGAGGCAGAGGTTGCAGTGAGCCGAGCTAACACCACTGCACTCCGGCCTGGGTGAAAGAGCGAGATTCCATCTTAAAAAAGAAGAAGAAAAAGAAGAAGAAGAAAATCTGCTCCAGGTTTTAATGAACCACAGAATGTGTTCCTTGTATGCTTCGCCTTGTCATTCTGCCTGAATTTATGCATGACTTCTGCGTTAATGTAGTAAACACTCGCTTGGCAGTCCTTTCATTTTCAGGACCCATAGGGTATCTCCAATTCCAGCTTTTGGTCAAGTAATAAGAAAAAGGTTTTTTTTTTTTTTTTCCCCTGGAATATTTGGTAGGAGCTTTTGAAGCTCAAAGGGATATTTAAAGCCTATTCAAGTTGAAGAAACTGAAGAAAACCCAACCATCCCCAACCACTTTTGAGGACATGAATTTCCAGTGGTTAGAGCTTCTCATTTGTATCTTTTAGTCTGAATGAGATGGATGGGGACCCTCTCGTTGGGCAGAAAGCAGAGGAGCAATTATGGGATTGACTGCAAAATGTCTAACCAGTTTAAGAGGCTGGTGACTTTTTATAGCACCTCCAGAATGGTGATTTTTGAACTTTTGACCTATTAAATAGTTTAATTATATGTTTCTCATGCTTTCTGTCTAAAAGTGGCTCACGAAATATAGTAGGTCAAATGAAGACCCCTACCAGAAATTTTAAAAATAATTATTAAGAACCAGTTGAGAATCTCTGTATTTTGTCGGATACCTTCATTTTAAGGCAGGAATTAGCTATCTGATTTAAGATTAATAAAAAGGAAATGCTTATGATTTTACAAAAAAGAGAGTATCTTCTTTTTTTAAGAGTTCATATGTGTGTGTGCATAGTAATACAAATCTGATCCCCATCCCTGCTCCCTGCCACCTTAAAACCCTTTCAAGCCTTCAGTGATTTTCCAGAACCTTTAGGGTTAACAGCCAGCTATGGCCATTGCCTGGAAAGGCCAGCTGTCCAAAGGTACTTGCCTTCCTCCATGTCCCCTGGCCTTCTTTATTCTGCCATGGAGTCTTTTCCTCCTCACACTAACCCTTCCATGTCCCCAACCCACGTAGCTCCCATCTGATCCCTTCCCCAGTGGTTCTTTTTCTCTTTCCCACTGGAGACAGGGTCTCCCTCTGCTACCCAGGCTGGAGTGCAGTTTTGCAATCATGGCTTACTCCAGCCTTGAACTCCCAGGCTCAAATGATCCTCCCACCTCAGCCTCCCAAGTAGCTGGTACCACAGGCATGAGCCACCATGCCTGGCTAATTTTTAAAGATGTTTTAGACTGGGCATGGTGGCTCACACCTGTAATTCAGCAATTTGGGAGGCCAAGGTAGGAAGAGCACTTGTGTCCAGGAGTTTGACACCAGCCTGGGCAACATAGTGAGACCCCGTCTCCACCAATTTTTTGTTTTGTTTTGTTTTAATAGTGGTAGGGTCTCACTGTGTTGCTCAGGCTGGTCTCCAACTCTTGAGTGCAAGTGATCCTCCTGCCTTGACCTCCCGAAGTACTGGAATTACAGGTGTGAGCCACTGTGCCTGGCCCCCGATGATCTTTTTTAACAACCCCCCAGAATTACTAAGATTTCTTTATGTTGCTATGATACCAAGGCATTCTGCCCCCATATTTTGCATGTTTCACACAACTAGTAAGTGACAAAACCTAAACCCAAATCCATCTGATTCTGGAACTTCATGCTGTCTGTTGATGCTTATCACTTTCCTGGATTTCATTTTCATCCTCTGTCTTCTGTGGAGCTCAAATGAATACTGTTTGTGAAAATGCTTTGTGTATAGTGGAACACCCTATCGACATTATAGGTAGCCTTTTAAATGCTTTTCTCAAAACTCTTCGTCTCGACCACCTTTCTATACCACTATAAGACTGACGTTTTGCAATTTTTCCTTTCTTCCCAGGATGGTTCCTACCTGGCTGAGTTCCTGCTGGAGAAAGGCTATGAGGTGGGTGACTCAATGGGAAGCAGGCGCAGGCTGGAGGGATTGCTCGCATGCGGTGGCCACATGCTTCCTCTGCTGCCGTCCTCCTGAGTGTGTTTTCCACTGAAACGCAGATAACAAATCAGAATCCAGGGAAGAATGTGTCTGGACTTGTGAGCCTGCCAACCCATTGTGCTGTTTATCTGCTGGTGAGCACTGGTGGCTCCCCTGCACTCACAGTGTTCAGCCGTGGTGCACACTTCCCACATTCTCCGATAACGCAGCAGCCTGTGCAAGCTGAAGCTGTAACATTATTCGGGTTAATTTATGATGTAATGTGTTTCATAAGAAAGTCTTACTCACAGTGAAGTCACTTAATTCAGAAATTACAGAGAGCAATAAAAACCAAGCTGATCGTTGGCAAACGAATGAAAAATTTATACCTGGAGGTTTTCCTTACTAAAAGGCAACCATATATTTTATGGAGCTGAAACTTTCAGGTTTGCTGCTTTTGTCGTTGTCTTCACCATTTCTCTTTACTTTAAAAGAAACAATAGTTTTATATATTAATTTTGATGTGCTAAGTATGTACAACTTAATTTTTTAAAGAACGTTTTTCAGATATATACATGTATATAAATTCATGCTATAACAGAAAAAAAAAAAAAAAACCTTTACAGTGGCCCATATGCTCTGATCTGCTTTATGAATGTTTACATTAATAATTTAGGGTTGTCTGTTTATTCTAATTGTTGGTACATTGTTTTAAAAATGTGTAATTTGGGCAAATGGAAACACAACAGGAAAGAATTTGGCATCTAAATGCCAACATTATTTGAAGAAAAAAAGTTAATTTCTTTTAACTCATAATCTGAGAGCCTTGACTTTTAGACTTGGAGAAGTAACAGTAGATGTGTTTAGCACCTTCTGTACCCTTTTCTAATAGCTAATGCTACATTTTGTAATTATATCAAAATAAAACAAATGGAATTATGAAAGTACATGTGTATACATATGTCCGTATGCATAAGTTGCTATAATAATCGAGAAAGAAATACAAATTCTACAGAGCAGAGACTTTTAGACTAGGTTATGTGTAGTACAAAGTGTTGGTTTTAGAGAAAGACCTATATTTATTCAGGCTAGATTAACCTAAGGCCTGAATATCTATTAAAAGGAATAGCTTGGCAGAGAGATGCCCGTACTGTGTTTCAGATGTTTGGGACCAGCTGAGAGATGTTTGGTGGCTAGAGAGGAATTAGTGATGTTGTGTATTGAGTGAACCTAGGAAAGGAGCTAGCTGGAGCAGAAATTGCTGCACTTGTGAAGAGTGTAATTTGGGCAAATGGAAACACAACAGGAAAGAATTTTGAGTGAGGTGGCATGTCAGAAGTGATGCTCAAAACCACATGAGTGTTGGGATCCGCTCTTCCGGGGACAAGGTGGGCTGAGACTGGAGGTGAGGGTGGTGTTAACAGGCAGCGCCTGTGTCTAGTCCAGAGGAGGAGGGAGCACGGCTGTGCACTGCAGTGATGGTAGACCCAGTGACAGTGACAGAGCGAGTTTGGATGTGTAGATGGTAACCATTCTCAAGCATGTGGTACTGTTAGTGTTACTCGAAAAGGCACAGAAGCAGATCTCTGTTTAAGTGTCCCTTGTTAAGGAACTAGCAGACTTCAGAAGACAAGGATGAGAGATTTGCAAATAGATGTAACAAGAGTCTAGGACTGCCTGATAAGCTGCAGATGTTTTTGTGGTATTTGAAATCGTAAGAGCAGATTTTATTCTGATACAAAAAGACAATAGAAGGCCCACTTGGCAAATCATAGTTAATGGGAGGAATTTGTCACTGAAACAATGGTTGAGAGAGAAAACAGGTTTAGGAGAGAGAGATCCATAAACTCATGGAAGGAAACATGGTTGACACTATAGCGGGAAAGTACACAGCCACAAAGCATAATCAGAAATTAATTCTCTTCCTAGTCCGGGGAAATGTGAGCTGTCTGCATATTGTGGGACTGTAAGTGTGTTTATCCGTACTGTATTCAATTTTAATAGGCTGCTGTCCTCAATTTTAAGAGTTTGGTGTAATTGGAGAATAAACCATTAAGAGGAATCTGATGGTGGCACAGGCTTTATGTTTTTATGCTTACGTCAAAGTAAATGTTAGAGTAATTTTTCAAATTGGCTGCATTGGAAAATTTCCTGATTTATCAGCGGCATCCCTGATTTTTGAAGGCCATGAGTAAAAGAATAGGATTAGTAGATTGCATGAACTAGAATGAGAGAGGGATGTATTTTATTACATGTGAACTTGGGGTGGGGGGCAGTGGTCGTGGTCAACAGCAACAATTTTGGATGCTTAGAGACGTCAGGCTCTCCAGCCTTAGTGTGCATCCGAATCAGGCCCTGTTAAGACACAGAAGGGCTGGTTCGGGGCTCTGGGAACTGTTCTTTCTAACATGCCCCCAGTCAGGGTGACATCGCTTGCCTGGGTACTACAGACAGAGACACCATCACAACTAAAGGTTTACATGAGATCAGGTGATGGATTGAATCATATGATGAAGTTGAACAAGGTACCCTAAGACGTTTTAGATCCGTGAGGCCTTGCTTCTCTGGGTTACGTATTGTGTTGAATCTAGCCTTTGTGTGAGGTGTATTCCAAAGGTCAGAACAGCTGGAAACAACCTTCTTAGGGACGGCAGAGGACAAACCAGGAACAGATCAGCCCTGTGAAGAAGAGGCGTGATGCTGAGGCTGAGTTGTTCTTTCTAGAAAAGCAAGGCACACTGGCTGGTTAGCAGTGGTAAGGCCAATTGTGCATTTTGAAACTGGGAAGCATGGGCAATGTGGAGAGGCCACAGCCACCTGGAGGGGAGTGTGCAGGAGGGCAGGGCTAGGTTGGTGGAGTCGTGATGATGGGTGGTGTAGGCAAAAACAAACCCTGTGTATGGAATTCATGTAGCGCAGTTAGACGTACTCCTTTACTTTTTCTCCCATCAGAAAAGCAAAATGAAAGTACAAATAACTTAGCTAGCCTTAAAGCAAAAATAGGCATTTGCGGATGACTTGAAAAGCAATAGCGTATACTAACAGACTGATTAGTTATGGTTAATCACTTTGTATCACCTCACGCACATTTAGATTCCTGAAGCCGTGGGGCCTCGCCATCAAATGGGGCCACTGAAATCCACATCTCTGAATGAACCGTTTGAAGTGAAAAAGTGAAGGGTTACTTCTCACTGAGAAAAGCCTTAATTTAGAAGTTTAAAATGACAGGTTTAAATGTTGTTGCTTGAATTTTGCTCAGGATTAAATGTTAAGGAGAGCATAAGGAGAATGGATGTAACACTCATTCATTCTTTATTACTTAAAGGTGTCATCTCATAATGAGGAAACCCAAAAATTGTTGGGTTTTATGGACAATCACTCTTTGATACGTTATACACTTAATTCTACACATTGCTGAAGTGCAGAGGATCATTCTCCTTTATCCCTGTTGTCAGTACAGAGCCAGAGGGGTGGACAAGGTGGTTAGCTCGCTGTGGCAAAGGAGCCTCAGGCTGGGCACTGGACACCTGTGTCTCACTCTTCCTCTGCCACTTGCAGGCTCCGTGACCCTGTGCAAGTCACTCGACCCCTCTGAAACTTAGTTGCCTTTTCTGTAAATGGGGTGATAAGCACACCTATCTCCGGAGGTGGTTGCGGAGATCAGATAAGACAGTACGTGGAAAATGCTTAGCCCAGTGGAGTTCTGTGGGACTCATGGGCTTATTGATACGGAGCTGGCAGAGTGACATGCGGTCTAATGTGGACAAGCCAGTGGACACGGATCTTTAATCGGCTCTTTAGTTGGATTCGTTAATCAGCATTCCTGAGTAGCAGGCATGTTCTGTTGCCTAGAATGCTGGAGCTGTTTGCATTTCTTCCTGTCATAAGGGAAAACGGAGGATTGACAGAAATGAAGCTTTTTATGAAAGCGTGTTCTAGTTCCAAGTGTGTTTCCAGCACCACTGTTAGCAGATAAACCAACAGCACACTTTTGTACCCATTTTGCACTAAGTACAGAGGAAAACCAGAGAAGTAAAGACAATGTTGAACCCTTTAAAAGCTAAAATCTGGGACTATATGACAAATCTGTATTGAATAACTTAGTAACAGCTACAACACAATGTATCAGAAATTAAAATAAATAATAGGTAAATTGTGACATGAAGGATCAGCATAGAAAAGAAATGGATGTAGGGATAGTCCGATTGTTATCTCTGGGAGATTTTTTGTTAGAACATGGAGTTGCTCTACTTTCTTAATCTATGAGAATCCTTCAACTATTTTTCCTCTGGGTTGTTATCCCAGAAGCCTTTATACTTTGATTAGAAAAAAGGTGAAGCTTTTATGGATTTCATTTTGAAACTATACTGAGTGTTGGCAGGGTTGACCGAGTCTATGTTCTTTAACATTGCCGCTTACTAGCTGTGTTCTCTCAGGCAATGTCCTCATTCATGGAATGGGACCAGTACTATTATAGTAAGGTTGTTGTGATGATTAAGTCATTTAATACATACAGAGAACAGTGTCTAGTACATGATCATTGCTGTGTAAGTGTTAACTATTGATGTTACTTAAATAATCTGTACTTTTCAAAAGGTGAGTGACATTAACCATCCCTGGGAGTCATCCTTGCCTCCAAGAGAAATCTAGACACTAAGAGTTTGAAATTCAGTGATAATAATTTTCCATTTTCTTGATCATAATTAATAAATAATAAAGCATTTCTGTCATTTTCCTGATCTCACTGTGGATTTTGAAGTTAAACCAACTTTGTTTTAAATGGAAAGAACTTGAAATTTTTCTTTTTATCACCTTGTTAAGTGGGACATGAAATTTGTCAAAAAACTCATTTTCATTTATTATAAGACCTCAGTGTTTCAGAATTATATTTTGTGTCTGAACTACTATAATTTTGTAATGATTTTGATTAAGTTTATATAAAGCCAGATTCAGCTCTTTTATCTTTTCAGTTTGGTTCCTAATACCTCATATCTTTTTCTCCCAAAATCCTTATAAAAACAAACAAAAAGCTCTATCTACATCCCTTCTGTAAAGAGAAAGCCGCTAATCTCAAATTCTTAACTAGATTATGCAGTTTGCACACATTTTGGCTTGTGTTGAAGTCTGTATTTCACCTGTCTCAGAAGCAGACAGACCTAGCTTTCATTAGTTCTTAGAATAATACCTGCTGTCATGGATTAAGCATTTGGCAGGTCTTTCTTTCCGTGTGTACACATACCAAATGGTGGGAGTTAGAGGAAATTAAAACACTTGATTTGAAAAAAAAAGCAACCAGTGCTTAATGCTTTTGATTTTTAATGTGACAGTAAAGTCTTGGTTGTGATTGGCTGTGACTTCGTGTAGTTGTCTGCATTTTACATGGAATGCATCAAAATCATTTCATATTTTTGTCAAAGCTTTTTATATTTATATGTAATGAATACATATTAATAAATGGCATCTCTCTATATTTTGGGCTGCTGGAATATGTGACTTCCCCAGAATCCAGCAATCTAGAGAAGATAGCCTAAATAACACTATTGTTATTCTTTTCACTGTCAAAGTTAAATTACTGTTTTTAGAACATAGACATTCTTTTCTATTTAATAAAACAGAATTTACATCTGAGAAATCTATTTCAGAAGTAACTTTGATAGTAAACGCAAGTTTTGCTATGTATAAGTATATATGTGAAATATATACTTTTTGTTAAAATTGAGTTTGTAGAGCAGTTCAACTTTACAATTAACTAGCAACCTGAAAAATTGGAGATCATGAAGTAGAACAGATAAGCTTAATACTAGTGTTTTCTCCATGTCTAAATTAGGAAGTAGATATGTATAGCCAGAGCTCAATTTAATGCTTCCTAAGGTTGAATGTTTGCCTCCTCAAATGTCAACCAAGTTTGTGAAGTTCCTTTCCCAAAATATTTTCATGTTTACTAACTTCTCTTGGGTTTCGTTCTTTTGGAAAATAACGTTGATGAGTGCTTTTCTCCCAAAGCAGCTCACCAACAGAAATATTAATTGTGGGTGTGTTGTATCTTTCGCAGAAGTCAATTTCTCATGTATGCCATTTAAAATTATGACATTTCTTTCTGTTTGAAAGAAAGTCTTATATTCTTATAATTTACCTCCATATTTGGAATATTTGAGTCATACCAAGGATTAATTTTGGTTTGAAATAGAAACGATTGAGTTAAAATATAGAAGTATATTCAGCTGCAAATGAACTTTTCAACATAAGAAGGAACACTTCTAAAATAAGTCAAGGATTAAAACTGCCACCAGTAGAACTGGAACTAGGGCAGCTGGTGACATAAGCTGGTGTTAGCATTGGCAGCACAAAGGGAGCAATCTTGACATGAGAAGGAAGTGGGACCAGGTCTGGAACAATTTCTCCTATGTTTCATACACAAATAGTCTTTTCTTCAGTATCAGGCAAGTATGCATTACATTCCTGTTCTATCAACTTTCACCCCGCCCCCCACCTATGGTTAAGTCAAGATAAAAAAATTTTAAAAATCCTCTCTTCGTTTGAGTTTTCTTTAGGTCTTAAATCGAGTAGTACATAAATGTTGTCTCTTACCCATGCTCTTTAGCTTTCTGTCTTTTCTACTTAGCTGCATAATAACATCTGCTCTCTGATTATGTCTGTGGCTCCAGAAATACATACAGTAGATACAAAATGCAAGCTCTGAGGACACTGAGAAGATGTGATGGCCTTGTGCTCTGTGTTAAGCAGGCTGCAAACGCCGTTTTACCGACATGGCCTCACATGGTCTGTCTTCAGTTTCAAATAGAAGAGATATTTTTGTCAGCAGTTAGGCTGTAAGTGTGTGTGTTTGGAAAAGGAGATGTTTGAGTATCTACAACTAAGCACGAAGTCACATAATTACCTGATTACGTTTGTTGAGATTGGCAGTAAAATCACTGGGGAAAGGCAGAGGTAGGATGTTGGTAGCTGGTGGACAGTGGTTGGGGAGAAAGTAAGCAGTGGGACTATTTCTAATAATTTAAAATGATGCTTAGAAATCATTTTTTTCATAAAGCTAAACATTAGCTAAAGAAGTCGTTTATCTCATTGCACATTTGTCTTTCCACACTGTAAAAACTCAGGTCCATGGAATTGTACGGCGGTCCAGTTCATTTAATACGGGTCGAATTGAGCATCTGTATAAGAATCCCCAGGCTCACATTGAAGGAAGTAAGTGATTTTCTTTTTCTAGAATCTCTTTCTATAATGTATTTTCAGATGTTCCTATATTCAGATAAGGTGTTTTCAAATATCATTTTTGTCAGTGCCCAACAAGTCACAGTTATTTATGCATGAATTACTGCACTGAATACGATTTACATATGTTGAAAATCTTCTCTGCTCACTGCCCTAGGCCATAGTGTCATGATGGTTTGGGTGTTAGAAGGCTGTGGAGTAGATGGCTTAGAGAGACCAAGGAAGGGCATGCCTTTGATCACCCCTCTGCAGGTGTCCTTATTCCTTCAAGTAAGAGCAGTTCCATACTTACAGTGCACTGACCCACTTTTTATATTTGGTCCAATTTAATCAACTTAAACAATCTTTGTACATTTAATTATTTTAAAAAATGATTTGTGAAGATAGGCCCAAATAAATGGCAATCAAAATGTTCCAAATTACTGTCATTGTCAGTATTTGCAGTTGTTTTGCTGCTTTTGTTAATTTGTCTGTATGTAGCTGTACAGTTTACATAGCACAAGCCGAATGTTTTCTTGTTTGAACTTATGGCAACTCCTGAGGTGGATAGGGAGACCCAGAGAGCATTTTATAGTTGAAGAAATGGAGATAGAGAGGTTATGAATTTTCTGAGGTTGCACACTGTGAAGAAGGCAGAGCTGGCACCAGGACACAGGGATTTTAACTCCAAGTTCAGCCTGCATTATGTGGCCAGTTTTTCCAGCCAGCAAGGACAATACACTCAGCTTGTAAACCATATATGGTTTTGTGTTCACCCCTCAACCCCTGCATATTTGAAGGTTTGGGTTTCTTGTATAGATAGTGACAGCATCAGGAAGATGGTGCAGTAGTCTCCAGTAAAAGGCTTTCCACTTTAAGTCATTAAGTGCATTGTCTTTGAAACTCCTGTTTTTGTGCAAAAGTCAGAGCAGGCCTGCCATTGGATCTAGATGTAGATCAATATTATGTAAAAATGATGACAATATCAAGTTAATAAATCACCCTTCCACATGTGTCAAATTCTTGTATAATGAAGTCAGTGTAAGGATCTGTTTAGATTTAGGAGGTCAAATAGGCTAGTTGTCCTTTAACCAGTTATGTCACCACATCAGGCATTCATGCAGGGCCTACGGATTGATGTTTATAAGGTACTTAAAAATTACTAGATAAAAGTGTCTAAAGAAAACAGAGTCATCTTCATCATCATCAGTGTTATCGATTTCTTCAGATGGTATACATGTTATCACAATGTTTTCTTTTTTTGAATCTCATTCTTACAGAACACATCTTACAACCACCTGGAGCCCTAAAATATGTTATTGTATAGTATGTTCATGATACTATGCTTTAAAAAAAGTTTCTCTGAGTTTACTACCAAAATCTTTTACAGACATAGGCATTATGTAGCTATCTTTCTATTATTTAGGTTAAAGATTACAGTTATATTCTGCTACTCCAGAACCATCAGTACAGCATTTCCATTTTGACCCTGGTTTTCAGACTTTCCAGATATGCACATCAATTTTGATATTTTAAAAAATTGAGCTTATGTTGCTTTTCTCTATCTAATGGTATGTGTTTGTATCCTGAAGACATGAAGTTGCACTATGGCGATCTCACTGACAGTACCTGCCTTGTGAAGATCATTAATGAAGTAAAGCCCACGGAGATCTACAACCTTGGAGCCCAGAGCCATGTCAAAGTAAGCATTTTCATTATGATTTCTCTGGCTATGTTTCTGTGGTGTTCTGTATTTTACTTGTGTCTGTTGCTTCTCAGTACAGTAATATAATCACCGGTCTTAGTCTTCAAGTTGAATTGTCAGTGTTAGTTTGAGTATTAATCCTAATTGAAGTACTCATAGATTTTTTAAAAGTCTCTTGTCTTTTATTGAACAATATAATAAAACCTTACCACTAATATTGAAATAGCAGTATTTGTTTATTTTGGGTTGTTCCCTGTAGCCGTGAGCCCCATGGATGTGTTTTTTGCCATTTCAAATAACAGATTGTGAATTAAATGTTTTGTTAAAATGTTGGAAGATATAACTAAGTAAAACCTTTATTTTAATATCAGTTTTTGGTAGTGGCTGAATTACTGGCTGAGAGAATATTTTTGAGTCCCAATAATATGTTAAAATTAGCTGAATTAACTTTTTAATTGTGAATAGTGAAAATCATTGGAAGAAAGCTTTTTAGTCTCCCTCCTCCTCAGTGTGATATAGCCAATATGGAATTTCCCCTCTATTCGCACTGTGGAAGGAATCACGGTAAACATCACAGGCCCATCCTTAGGGTTCTAGTGATCTGCTTAATTCAAGTTTTTGTTGCTGTGTCCTCCTGCTCACATGAATAAGTGAAATCTGAAGCCACAAATGATAAGAGTTCTATTTAGATACTTGTTCAGTCAGGATGGTTAGTGGACCTTAGAAATAAAAGCAAGTAACTCTTAAGTTATAAAAGCCCCCCAAAAGTCCAGAAAATCTATGAGTATCTTTTTTGTTGTTGTTGCTATTTAATGAACAAGTAGAGGACTCTTATCTCAGAAAGTTTTTCTTAGGTGATTGGCTATTTTTCTGTATCCCAATTTTGCATAGAATGGAAGCTAAATTCCTATTCTATATACCTCTGCTTGTTGAAGGAAGAAATCATGAACTAGATAAAATGAAACCAAGTGGAGAACATAGAGAAACATAGCAATAAACTCAATCTTATAACTGATTGTCAGTCTTCATTATACATATCTCTTTCAAATGTTAACCTTGATGACATATTGATGAATAAAGATACCTCATATCTGTGTTGTCTATGAAAAAACATTTTTCTTTTCTTAATCTGTGATGATTCTGTTCTATATTCAGACTGTCACCCAAGTCTGTGAAAGGTATCAGGGTCTTTAGGTTACAGCAGAGCTATTTTTCTAAATGATTCTCCGTGTGTTTTTTTCATTTTGGAAAGTCTTTCATGCATACTGTGCTTGAGAAATTGCATCCCTTCTTTCCTATAGAGAAGCGGTGACTTTTTATCATTCCAGGAATGAAGACTTTATTTTTCCCTAATTGAGGTAGTCAGTCTGTCTTCCACATTATAATTCATCTGGCTGCTTCTTGACCTTCCTGATCAGCCATGAGAGTATCTTCCAGACAAAACAGAATGTTTTGGAATGAACATTCTGTTATTCAGTTTCCTTTAGATTAAGAAGTTTCCTTTGTAATCATAGATAGTTTATCACCTGTAGGAGCTAAAAATTGTAATCAAAGATGCAGAAAATGTTTATAAAGGTTTATTTATAGAAGACCTTCCCCTTGTCATGTTAGTATTAAATGGGCTGATTGTTTCCTTTCTCCAAAACATATTTATAGTTCAGAAATGTGTTATAGTTGGTTTTCTTAGTTGTAGTTATCATGATAGTCTTTTGTTATCATTCTGGTGTGGTTGTACCGTAAGTAATAGAAATCATAGGCAATTTGAGTTGATTCCCTCTACATTGCTACGCATGTGAAGTTTATCTGTTTTTATTGTATTTTGGCTGCTTTTCTTAATGGTTAGTTAATGGGCAGAAATGGTACTCTTAGTGAGAATTTTGGTTTGTAAGGTCGTTTAATCTTCCAACAAATATTTACTGAGTGCATACGTCATGCAAGGTATCATGCATGGTACACACAAAAAGATGTGTCAGATACACTTCTGCTGTGGGGGTTTCAACTTTAGTAGGGGTGATTCCCACAAATGTCTGATTCTTTAGAGGAGGGTAAGAGAGAACTTCCGTCTGAGACAATTATGAATAGTGCAAGGTGGAATTGACACTGGCTCTAGTGGTGAGGTATAGGGAGGACAATTACAGACATACTGGGAAACTAATAGTTGAAATGGGGGTGGTAATATGAGCCAAAGAGAAGTGAGAAAACTTGGGACATGTTTGCAGCATCATGAACATTCTAGATGAGCTGAGCAGAACCAATATGAGGAGAAATGTGAGGTAAGGCCAGGTAGGAAGTTGGGCTGTGCCTGGGCAGCCTACCCATGTTTTGAATGGGGGGAGATACATTCAGTGATGACTTTTAGAGGTAAGAGTCTAGAGGTAGGGCTTAAGAAGAGGTAGGAAGTTGCTGGATGAGAATGGTGTCACTAGAAATGGGGGTGGGAGTGAGGAACGAAACAGGATGCCAGGTGGAACTGACTTCTCTATGCACTGATGTGGTCACTAGAGAAGAGGGAAACCCAGGGCTCCAGTGACCAGGGGACCAGATGGTCAGTGGAACCAGTACTAGAAACCAACATTCAAGGAGGAACTTTCGGAGTGGGATTGGAGAAATAAGTTCCTTTTTGGAAACATTTTACTGGCATTACTTGAAGGACATTCAAGGGAAGCAGGTTATAAAGTAGCTTAAAATATGCTGTGAGTTTTGAGAGAGATCTAGGGTACTGACGTGTATATTCAGCTCTTGAAATCTTTTTTTTTTTTTTTTTTGAGACGGAGTCTCGCTCTGCCGCCCAGGCTGGAGTGCGGTGGCGCGATCTCGGCTCACTGCAAGCTCCGCCTCCCGGGTTCCTGCCATTCTCCTGCCTTAGCCTCAGTAGCTGGGACTACAGGCGCCCACCACCTCGCCCGGCTAATTTTTTATATTTTTAGTAGAGACGGGGTTTCACTGTGTTAGCCTGGATGGTCTCAATCTCCTGACCTCGTGATCCGCCCTCCTCGGCCTCCCATAGTGCTGGGATTACAGGCGTGAGCCCCTGCGCCCGGCCAGCTCTTGAAGTCTTCATGATGCCAAGTAGTAACTGGAGAAAGATGGGTAGAGGACTGAAGATTGAATCTTGGAAACATGCTGCTAGTGAGAGGGTGGGATGAGGATGAGTAGGGCTGATGACAGAAGTCGAGTGGGCAGAGGGTGGGATTGTGCCATGGCAGTCAAGAAATTAGGTCCATGTAAGCAAGAGGGGATGAGGCTAGGAGAATGAGGACCAGGAAGAGTCACCGGCCTTGCCAGTTAGGTCAGCGAGGATTTGTTACTTTTTAAAGGAACATTTTAGTGATGCGACAGACGAACTTGGCCAGTGTTCCGGGGATTTAGAAGTTGAGAGGTTATAAGGGAAATGCAAGTTGAATGCATTTTTTCCAGAAATTTTTATGTAGAGGGACAAGAGAGGATATGATAGATAAAGCTTGCAGCATCATGTGTGGGTTGAATCCTTGATTCTTTAGGCCTCTCTTCAGAATCCTTGATTCTTTAGGTCTAGGGTGGGGTCTTAGAACTTGCATTTTTAGGATGTGTCCAGATGATGCTGTCCCTGGTCTGGGAACCACACTTTGAGAACCCTTGTTCTTGTGTTTCAGGTTTCTTGATTTATCCATATAGAATGTGTTCCTTAAATCCTTTCTTCTTATACCTTCTCCTTTTAATGTGTAGGTTTTTGAGTTTGATGTAAAATAATCCTGTTACTTACTAGTTAATGACTTAATGAGCTTTTAAAGCCCAAAACTATGTCTGCAGTCAGAAATTATAAGAATGGAAAGAGAATTTGATATATGTTTGTATCAAAGTTCTTGATATTCAGAAACCTCTTTTTCTGAATAGGACATAGTCTGAGATAATAAATACTTCTTGAGTACTTAGTATGAGTACAAGTGCCTCTTAGAATGTCCTTCAAAATCCCTTGTTCCATACCACTGTTTATGCTATGATCTGTGGGCAGGCTTAATCATGGCCAGAGCAGGCGTGGGGAAGGGGCTTGGGATGATGGCGCTGTGTGAGCACAGACTGCTCACCTGCCTTGCTGGCGGCATGCTGCTGTGTTCCCTCACCTCTCCAAGGCTCTCCATGGCGGGTTGCAGTTGTTTGCTTTTTTTCTAGTAGCTTGTTAGGGAAGGAATTAGGATGAAAAAAATACGTATTTTGTTCCTTGTAGTTAATTTCTCTGTATTAATCAGCTTTGTAGAATTTATTGTATTCATAGATATATTCAGACAAAAAGGTTACTTCTGATAGTGTAATGTTTGCCATAAGATTAATTAAATTTCTTGTTATTTGGTTTGGTGTCGTTTTGAAAAAAGGTTCTAATATTAGCACATATTTGCATTTAATTTGAATCCGTGACTTCTAGACTGGGTATTGTTTGTGTTGGCTTCTGTTTGTACAGAGTAAAGTCTCCTATCACTCTCACTTCCAGTTAATTTGATGTGGGCTAGGGTATGCTAAAAGTAAGGAAAATAAAATAATAGGAAGTTGGTCTGGTTTCCTGTAGGAAACCAATGAAGATGAAATTGGTTCTTGGAATAAACCCACAGCAGTCTGGGAAATACTGACTGAAGACATTTTTCTGAATCATAAACAGAAAAATTATGACTCATGAAGTAGGTCACTGAAAGGCTGGTTTGATCTTATGTGGGAGAAAGTGAGAGATGACTGAAATGTACTAGTTATTAAAAGAAGTTAAACCTAGCATGATGACATCATCCAAGTAGGAACAAATTATCCAATTTGTAGTCCTGCCCATTTGATGGAGAAAACGTTTTGAGAAACTGCTTTTTTGTTGTGGTTGTGTGGTTGGTTTGTTTGTGTATTTTTTGCTGTATAATAGTGTTTCTTAATTGTTTAATTGCTGTCCTGATTTTCGATTTGTCCCCCATTTCTTGCAGCTTCTTTAATAATCTTAATGTCATTTTCAAAGTAATGGTGTTGGTGAGATCTTTCTACAGTGA